AATATCATGATAGCGGCGATGCCGGAAAAAGGAGTTATCGCTAAATTGTCGGCTTGACCTTCCCGCTAGTCCGCCTGCATACCAAACTTCAAGGACCAAGGTGCATGGCGCGAAGCGCCACTGCAGTCTTGTATTATATATATATGTATGTATATGTGTATATATGTATATATATATATAAATATTTAGATTGGGCGCCATCCTGCTTCAATGATCGAGTGGTTGTGTTCGTCCTTCCTCTTCAGGGAACGGGCGGCAGCCCAATATACTTCCAACGCGTTCCAACTTCATGCTTCTGCCCACTTCTCCCGACCGACGGGTGGCCACTTCCTCGTCAGTTGGTTACTACCCCCCTTTCGACCGACCCGACCAATGGCCGTCGTGGTCGTCGTTGTCGTTGGTCGAGCGTCGTCGTCGCAAGGAAGGAGGGGATGGTGAAGGACGAGGCGGAGGAGGAGGAGGAGGAGGAGGAGGAGGAGGAGGAGGAGGAGGAGGAGGAGGAGGAGGAGGAGGAGGAGGAGGAGGAGGAGGCGGAGGAGGAGGAGGAGGAGGAGGAGGAGGAGGATGGAGGAGGAGGAGGAGGGAGGAGGAGGAAGGAGGAGAGGAGGAGGAGGAGGAGGAGGAGGAGGAGGAGGAGGAGGGAGGAGGGGACTACGAGGGAAGAGGAGGAGGAGGAGGAGGAGGAGGAGGTGGAGGTGAGGAGAGGAGGAGGGAGGAGGAGGAGGAGGAGGTGAAAGAGGAGGAGGAAGAGGAGTAGGAGGAAGAGGAGGGGAGGAGGAGGAGGAGGAGGAGGAGGAGGAGGAGGAGGAGGAGGAGGAGGAGGAGGAGGAGGAGGAGGAGGAGATGGAGGAGGAGGAGGAGGAAGAGGAGGAGGAGGAGGAGGAGGTGGAGGAGGAGATAAGCACCGCGACAAGCAAAGCCCTTGTTTAGCAAACGTACCCAAGTCAGGAATCGAACAATGCAGGGCTGTTTAGTAGACGTCTGGGGCCGTTTAGTGAGCGCCCATTTCTGGGATCGACTCGGATCTCGGGTGGCCGCTTGGGATGATTTGGCCACCCTGGGAACGTCCTCGTCGAGGCGCAGCTGCTGGAGAGCATCCCGAATCCAGAAAAACGCCTCTTCTGACTACGACAACGACGGCGACGCTGGACCAACGACGACGACGACGACGACGACGACGACGACGCTCGACAAACGACGACGAACGACGACGAACGACGACGACGACGACGACGACGACGACGACGACGACGACGACGACGACGACGACGACGACGACAAACGACGACCGACGACCGACGACCGACGACCGACGACCGACGACCAACGGCCGACGACCGACGACCGACGTCCCACGGCCCCCGGGTGTGCGGGGGCCGCCTGGCGGCGGGGCTCGGGGCGGGCGAGGCCCCGCCCGCCCGCCGCCACGACCGCAGCGCCTGCCGCGGGCGGCGTCGGGCGGAGGTGGGCGGCGGGCGGCGGCAGCGGCGGGCGTCGGCGGGCGGCGGCGGCGGGGGGCGGGCGGCGGGCAATCGTTGCGCGGGCGGCGTCGGCGGGCACTCGGCGCGGGGGCGGCGTCGGGCGGGCGGCGGGCGGCGGCGAGGAGCACGAGGGCGGCGGCGGGCGCGCGGGCGGCGTCGGGCGGCGGAGGGCAGCGTCGGGCGGGCGGCGGCGGACCCTTACATCGGCGCGCCGCAATATTTGCACACCCGGCGCTGTCGGGCCCCCGCGGGACCCTCAGGACGACGACGACGAGGACGGGGACGACGACGAGGACGACGACAAGGACGACGACGACGACGACGAGGACGAGGACAAGGACGACGACACGGACGACGAGGACGACGAGGACGACGCGGACGACGACGACGACGCCCAGGTGAAGAGGGCGGTGTGGTGGGAGCAGGGCGGGGCGCGGGCGCGGGCAGGACGAGGGCGCGAGCAGGGCGAGGGCGCGCGTGGGGGGTCCAGGGGCGCGGGGGGGCGCGGCGGGAGACGAGGGAAGGAGCATCATTTGTGTTTCGTAAAGGGGCCGAAGTCTATACACCGACGCTTGTTTTCTGTCCGGCCACGCACGGACATCCGCAAACACGAAGGCGGATCCAGGTGTGCACGGGACCCTGGTGTATAACCGTTTCGCTGTTTCCCCAGGAAACGGATGACACAAAGTGTGCACCACACCACCCCGACGCGGTCCCCGACCTTTCTGGGATTGAAAACAGCCCGCCACTGGTAACGTATATGTCCCTACCTATACGACCACCCTGCGGGTGATAAGGCAGTTTTTTTTTGGGGGGGGGCAGTAATGGGCAACAGTGGGACCATCGATCCCACCATCGATCTCACTCGATCGATCTCATTAGCGATCTCACTCGAGCGATCTCACTGTCACTCTCACTCTGGATCTCGCTATCGATCCCACCAGCGATGTCCCTATCGATATCACTCGGGCGCCTCCATCACTCGATATCGCTATAGATTTCCCTGTCGATCTCTCACT